GGAGTCCCATATCGTATTGTAAAACAAAAAATATAGCCCAAGTCTTTGTGTTTGTCAAGGGAATTCACTTTCAGTGCTGATTTGACATTAAGCTGAAACAGCTGGTTGCGACAAACATGTTCTTGTTTAATCATCAAGGTACTAAATCATCATAGAGGATCAGAAAGAAAATTCCCTAAGGAATAACTTTTGTTAAAGGAGGGATTGACGCATCTTTTAGCGATTAAATCTTTCGTCTGGTTTTCTGTCAGCTAATCCTCCGTTGGTAAATTTTTGACAGGGTATTTTTAGCAACAGCTGCGTGCGTCAGTGAGCGGTCATTAATATACGATGCACGCAGGAAGTTTGGAGAGCTTGAAAGAATTACTTAGCAGCAATCAAGAATGATCGTAGGTTCATAAATAATAAATGCAGTTAGGTAGGTTTAACATGGTGTAGCTTTTAACTCGACTTCTTGTCGGGAATTATTCAACAATATTCATTTCATCTTCGGCAAATAGTTGTTAAATATTTTTATCGAGTGTTGATAGTTTCTAGGTATCCATTCCTTCATTTTCCCTCTCGATCAATAGATTATCATGGTCACTTAAGCACAGTCATATAACTCTGGTTATCGAAGGAGAATGGCGAGTCGTTCAGGGGAATTATGACATGAAGAAATTCAGTCACCTGCCGTATACATGAAAGCTTACTTGATATCAAACTGATCTTTCCTTCTTTTTTCGCGAACAAGACGTCTAACCCTCCAAAAATGTTTTGGCGAAAGGGAGAGACAAAATAGAGAAAGTAAAAGAAACAGCAAAAAATTGCTTGAACACGTAATTTCTTGCTTTCCTTTTGTCACGTTTCTCGTTTTGTCGGAGACGAAACGGATATAAAAGAGCCACAAAATGGTATTAATTACACAGTTTAATTAAAATATTTTAACATAAGTTTGCATCTGTGGCCATGCATTAATTTTGAATAGTTATATGCATTGAAACTGCCGGACTGATTGTCATGGGTTTTACTCCCTAGGCTCAAACCTTCTTTATTTCAGCTTGCTGAGGCTGATGATTAATCAAGGCTCAACCTTACACAAATGATACGGACCTTTTATTGACACCCTATTAATGAATGAAGAAATGTAAAATGGTTTCCGTGTTTACATAGCCTGATGTAAACACGCGGGAGGTTGGGAGAACACGAGATAAGAGTAGGAAACCACGACGCAAAGCGGAGTGGTTTCCAGCTTATCGAGTGTTCTCCCAACCTCCCAAGTGTTTACATCAGGCTATGTAAACACGGAAACCATTTTACATTTCTTTTATAAAATAACTAATGAAAGAGGAACGAAAACCGTGTTTACATACGCTCATATAAAATGGTTTTATGGCCAATCAGAGCGCGCGTACTATTTGAATTATTTTATAAACTAGGTTGTGTAAACATAGGCCTTCGATGGTTCCAGGTTACCATTATTTGCATTGCGGCACGGCGTTCCTCGAGTCGTGTGGCTCAAAGTCCCAAACGTATTTACGGGCAAAGTAATTCGATTGAAACCATAGTATTGAGTGCCTACTCGCAAGCGAAATAAAGAGGGATTGTTTGTTGCAACATGAAAAATTAATCTTAAAGATGTCTTTAAATATTTGCTTCTTATTCCTATTTCATACGTGATGTACATGACAAGTTAAGCACAAAAAAAGGCTTTTTTGACACAACAAATAGTTTTTTGACGTACTTCAAACGTGTAAACAATAGTGAGGAGGTTTTTATTTGAGATGTTATGTAGGAAATGGGGTTTCAGTGATCGTCGTTGTGCAATTGGCGTTTACTAAAACGAAATATTTTTGTGGTTGCTATCATAGATAACCTCATGACAAGAATAATGTCAACTTTTGAAATATTTAATATATCCAGTTTAATGCTGGTCTATTTTTAAGTTGTCTTCAAGTTTTATTGATCCTATGTCTACCAACCCGAGTGATTAACTGTTCCTAACTTTCTCTCCTTTTTCCTTGAGCTCGTTTCCCGAAGCTTTTTTGGAATTCAGAATCTACCACAATACAGGGATAATGATTGCATTTAATTAACTTGCCCAAAAGAATGGCAGTATATTTAATATACCGCTGAAACTGCTTATGCTGTCATTCAAAAACTAACGAAAGAGAGTTTCCTTATCATATAGTCAGACAAAGATATTACCGATGTTAGTGTGCTTGCCAAAGGAATTAACTTTTAATGCTAATTTGAAGTTAAATTGATCTAAACACTGGAATAAACAGCTGGTTGCGACAAATACATGCTTGTTTAGTTTTAAAGCTGCCGTCGCCACAATGAGTCATCAAAGAGGATTAGAAGGAAGCTTGCTGAGGAAAAAAAGACTCCTATAAAAGAGATTGATGTAATAATCGCATTTTTCAGTGATAAAATCACCTCTTAAGGATGTCTAGTAACTATATCTGCACTTGTAAGAAATATTGTAGATCGAAAATGAAAAATATTAAGTTTGAATAAAAATTGGCATCAAAAGAAAAGCAAATTAATATTTTGGTACCCGATGGAACTCTGGGATTAAAACGATATCGGGCACGTAGGGCGCGCATGGCTGGTGCAAAACAATGGTTTCTCCGCCTCGTCTATTTTCATTAAGTGCCCAAAAATTCGCCTGCTACCCACTCGTAGTCAATATTGCCTGACTCTTGCGCGTTTTCTGCGGTTGATGAATTTTGTTCGTTTCTTTTGTGAGTCACTATTACTTCTTTGTAGTATTCAATTTTCGCAATTGGTCGTTGAGTTCTTTTTCCCTTCTAGACTGAAAGTATTCGAAATACATTGCGACACGAGCCATTTACAAGGCCAGTCATAAAGGTGAATTTGTTTTTAGTTAAAAAAGATTTCATAACAAAGGTATAATAGGCTAACTTTGGTTTATAATTTTTCCAGGACAATTATCAAAAGGTTTTCGGCGAAAGGAGGAGAACAAATACAGAATGTGTTCAAAAAACTGTTTCAACACGTTATTTCTTGATTTTGTGTTCAAAAAGAAGAGTCAGCCCTGTGGGAAAAAGGGTCAGTTGGGTGATTTTAATGGAAAGGTCTTGACCAATGTCAACTTCAAAAACTTGACTGAACAACTGGGATTTCGTGGTCGCCAAGAACACTACGACGCATACGTGGAAGACGTAATTATAAGACAGCCAGAAGATGGAACTGAAGTTGTTGAGTTCCGGGAAGGTCCCACTAAAATACGGAGCGGTGGTCTCACCATCAGGCGAAGAAAAACACCACAAGCCATGTTCAGCACGAATGGTGGAAAAAGCGATCCAGTGAAGTTATTCCAGCTTTGGTTGTCCGAGCGACCCGAAGGAATGAAGAACACAGGGCCACTCTATCTAAGCATCATAAATCGTCCTAAATCAGCAGATTTTGCAGCACACTGCAAATGAAGCCTCAAATCAAGAGATTGCAGTCCGACATAAACGAACTCTGTCAGCTAATCCTCCTCTGTGTTTTAAGTTTTCTTCAAGTTTTATTGATCTTATGTCTTCCAACCCGAGTGATTAATTATTCCTAACTTTCGCTTCTTTTTCCATGAAGCTTTTTAGGAATTCAGAATTCACCACAATACAAGGATAATCTTTGCACTTAATTACCAGCCCAAAAGAATGACAGTATATTTATGTTGTCATTTCAAAACTGACCAAAGAGAGTTTCTTTATCATATCGTCAAACAAAAATATCACCGATGTCTGTGCGCTTGCCAAAGGAATTAACTTTTAATGCTAATTTGAAGTTTAATTCAACTTAACCTGCTGGAATAAACAGCTGGTTGCGACAAATATATGCTTCTTTAGTTTTAAAGCTGCCGTCGCCACAATGAGTTATCAAAGAGGATTAGAAAGAAGCTTCCCAAGAAAAAAAGACTCCTAAAGAAGAGTAATAATCGCATTTTTCAGTGTTTAAATCACTTCTTAAGAATGTCTAGTAACCATATCTGCATTTGTAAGAAAAATTTTAAATCGAAAATGAAAAAATATAAAGTTTGAATAAAAATTGGCATCAAAGAAGGGAATATTTTGGTACCGATAGAACTCTAGGATTAAAATGATATAGAACGCGTAGAGCCATCATGGCTCTTGCAAAACATTGGTTTCTCCGCCTCGTCTATTTTCCACTTAGCGCCCAAAAATCCGCCAGTTACGCATTTGTAGTCCATATCATCTTGCTCTCGCGCGTTTCCCGCGGTTGATGAAGTTTGTTTGTTTCTATTGTGAGTCCATATTACCACTTTGTGACATTCCCTTTTCGTAATTAGCCTTTGAGTTCTTAGTCCGGCTTCTAGATTTAAGCACTTGGAATATATTGCGATACGAGCCAGTCACAGGGCCAGTTATAAACTTGAATTTGTTTTTTAGCTGAAAATGCTCATAATTATGAATTTTGGAGATGTTGTCACTTAAAAACAGTGTGTTATCGTTTTTACGAAATTCAAAATAACAGTTTAACATCTTCACTCAGCTGTAAATTTATTTCTTCCTGAGAAGATGGATTTTCAAATAAAATATTAATATTATCACAGATGTCTACACGTTTGACTCTAGATGCTAATTCAGGCTTAAATGAAACTCTGTCGATTAGACAAGCATGCAGATATGGCGCACTAAAGACTCCCGCATTTAAACTAAGGCTTTTAAGGAGATAAATCTAGAACAAAATGTCACGTTATGAATTTCCTGGTGAAAAGTGAAAGTGAAAAAGCTGGTAAAAAATGAATTTGAAAAAATGGTCTGGCAGCGTAACATGTTGTTACGGTTTTGTTTTTGACATTAGTCAAAACGGGGATGCAAAACGGAAGGAAAAAAAACGCAAAACAGTCATCACAAATTAATTAATTAAACGCTGGTAAGGAAGTCTTAATGTGTTTATTAAAGGAAGATTTTAGTTATCATCGTTCGGCGTGTCCTGTTTAGACGAAATATTTCTCATTACAAGAAAAAGGAAACGAATATCGAATTATGTCGATAACAAATTTAAGTAGGAGTGGAACACAGACGAAAACATTTAGAGAACTGCTATGTTCCCCCTCTTTGGTGGGTGGGCTTCAACAAGAATCAGTTTCTTTCGCAGCAGTCAACATTCTCCTCTCCATCACAACATTTCTTGGGAATTCTCTTATTCTTGTTGCCCTTCATAAAGAATCTTCCCTTCATCCGCCGTCCAAACTCTTGTATCGTTGTCTGGCAACAACTGATCTGTTGGTTGGTCTTGTTGCTCAGCCTCTCCATGTTACTTATTGGATGTCTGTCGTTCACGAACACTGGAGCCTTTGTTATTACGCAGGTGAAGCAGCCTACATCACAGGTGCAGCATTATGTGGAGTTTCTTTGCTGACGATGACGGCAATAAGCGTGGACAGACTTATCGCCCTGTTGTCGGGGCTGAGATACAAAGAGATTGTAACTTTGAAGCGCATTTATATCATTATAGCTAGCTTTTGGGTTTTATGTCTTGTCGCCTCTTTATGCACCATTTTCGATCAGCGAATAACCGCTTTGTATGCCTTGATATTGGTACCACTTTCGCTGCTTATTTCACTCGCCTCGTGCACAAAGATTTTACGCACTCTCAGACATCATCAGGCACAAGAACAAAATCATATTCAACAACAGCCGAGCCAACCAAATGCACTGAACATGGCGCGATACAGAAAGGCAGTGCACAGTGCACTTTGGGTAGAGTTAGCATTAGTTGTTTGCTACACACCATTCTATATAGTGAGAATTGTTGTCACTTATAGCACAACATACTCATCACACTTTGTCGTCACAATGGAAATGGCAGCTATCCTTGTTTACTTTAACTCGACGTTAAACCCGTTTCTTTACTGCTGGAAGATAAGTGAAGTGAGACAAGCAATGAAGCTGATAATCAGACAAATACTTTGCTTTCCATGGAGTTAAACCATCCTCGAGTTATACATGATCGTATAAGTACTTTTAGTGCAAAGCTGACCGATAGAGAACGCTTAAATTTTTGCTCGAGGTCTGTCGATACTAGATACTGCTATGTTCTTCCTCTTTCGTGGGTGGGTTTCAACAACAACTATCAATTTGTTTCTTAGCGGTTAACATTCTCCTCTCCATCACAACGTTTGCCGGAAATTCTCTTATCCTTGTTGCCCTTCACAGGGAATCTTGCCTGCATCCGCCGTCCAAACTCTTGTATCGTTGTCTGGCAACCACTGATCTGTTGGTTGGTCTTGTTGCTCAGCCTCCCCATGCTCTGTGTTGGAGGTCCGTGGTTTAAGAGCAGTGGAGCCTTTGTCGATACGCAAGGAATGCAGGCTACATCACAAGCAATCTATTGATTTTAGTGTCTTTGATGACGATGACGGCCAGAAGCGTGGACAGACTTCTCGCCCTGTTGTTGGGGCTGAGATAAAAACAAATTGTAACTTTGAAGCGCACGTATATTATTGTAACTACCTTTTGGGTTTTTATTCTTGTCGCCTCTTTAAGTGCAATTTTTTATCTCCTTATAATCTTTTTGTACAGCTGACTAGTTATATCATTTTGCCTGGTAATATCACTCGCATCGTACACAAAGATTTTTTGCACACTTTAAGATATCACCAAGCGCAAGTACGAGATCAACAACAGCCGAGTCAAACAAATGCACTGAACATGGCGCAATTAAGAAAGGCAGTGTACAGCGCACTGTGGGTGCAGTTGGCATTAGTTGTTTGTTATGCAGAAGAGTAGTTTAAGATGTTGAGTGTTACGAGAAAACTATTTCAACTAGTTTTCCTATAATTAAAAGAAAGCACCCGACGTTGATGTTGACGCCATATTGCCAAAAGAGACGGTCCAGTTTTAGTCTTGAATTTGTTTTGACATCAGAAAATATTCGTAAAGCTCATGTGAAGAAGTTTTCGGTACTGGTATATTTAACTGAAGGTTACGAAAGTATACGAAATAAAATTGACCATCTCTGTTTCTTACAGAATTTTATTACAGATCGATCAATGTTCTTAAATTATATTGGCAGCGGCGAAAAACAAGTTTCGCATCATTTGTATAGAGGTCACCATATCTCCAGTTTGTCGCTGGTGTGTCTTTAGGTTGTCTCTGAGTTTTAAGGATTTTATTTCCTCCATTTCTGGGTGATTAATTGCCGTCCCTAAGTTCCAAAAATTTTTTTTTTTTATTGACTCGTTTTCAAAGCTTTTGTATAAGCTCAGACTTTGCTTCAATATTATACCATCTAATTATTGCCCTAAAACGATACGGTTATTTCACCCATTAAAGAAGTGATAAAATAGATCTTTTAAAACTTAGGAGTCCTATCTCGTATTGTAAAACAAAAAGTTAAAAAATATGGCAGATGTCTTTGTGTTTGTCAAGGGAATTCCCTTTCAGTGCTAATTTGAAATTAAACTCAAACGTTGTTTACTGAAATCAACAGCTGGTTGCGACGAATATGTTCTTGTTTAAATATCAAGGTATTGAATTACCATAGAGGATCAGAAGGAAAATTCCCCATGAAAGAACTCTTGTTGAAGGAGGGATTGACTCATCTTTTAGTGATTAAGTCTTTCGTCTGTTAGCTAATCCTGCGTTGGTAAATGAAAGGACTAATTCGAAGCCGGAATAAAATGTTGAATCTATAGAGAGTAATTATTTTGCGAAAACGAAATTTCTTCCAACCTAAAACGAGGCGGCGTGTCTGTGGTGGTTAAGTAATTTTTCCTAATCTTTGACAGAGTATTTTTAACAATTGTTTCGTGCGTCAGTGAGCGGTCATTAATATACGATGCACACAGGAGGTTTGTAGAGCTTGATTGATACGCGGGAGTTACTTAACAAGCAACTAAGAGTGATCGTAGGTTCATAAATAATAAATGTTGGTTAATATGTAAGTTTAACAAGGTGTAGTTTTAAACTCGACTTCGTCTCGGGAATTATTCAACAATATTCACTTCATCTTCGGCAAATGATTGCTAAATATTTCATCGAGTGTTGATAGTTTTTAGGTATCCATTCCTTCATTTTCCTTCTCGGTCAATAGATTATCATGTTCAATTTAGCATAGTCATATAACTCTGGTTATCGGAGGAGAATGGCAAATCGCTTAAGGGAATTACGACATGAAGAATTCAGTCACTGCTGTGTAAATGAAAGCGTTGGCAGAGAAAAATTTAGGCGAACTTTGCTATATAATTTTTCCAGGACAATCATTGTAAAATTTTTGGATAAAGGAGGAGAACAAATAGAGAATGTAAAAGAAACAGCGAAAAATTGTTCAAAAAAGTAATTTCCTGCTTTCCTTCTGTTTTGTTTCTCGTTTTGTCGGAGACGAAACGGAGGTAAAAGAGCCACAAAATGTTACTAAGTCAAATATTTTGAAATTAGTTTGTATCTGTGGCCATGGCTCAACCTTATTCACACAAATGATATGGACATTTGATTGACACCCAACTCGATTAAACTAGGTTGTATAAACATCGTTCCCATTATTAGCACTGCGGCACGGCGTTCCCTCGCCCCCGGGTCGTGTTGTTCAAAGTCTCAAACTTATTCATGGGCGAAGTAACTCGTACTGAAGCCCTAATAGTGAGTGCCTTCTCGCAGGCTAAATAAAGCGGAATTGTTTGTTGCAAGATGAAAAACATAATCTTAAAAATGTCTTTATATTTGCCTCTTATTCTTATTTCATACGTGATGTTCATCAGTGACAAGTTAGACACAAAGCAAAGGCTTTTTTGACACAGCAAACGATTTTCAGACGTATTACAAACGTGTAAACAATAGTCGGGAAGTTTTCATTTGAGATGTCACATAGGAAAAAGGTTCCAGAAATCATCGTTGTGCAATTGGCGTGTAAACGAAATATTTGTCTCGTTGCTATCACTGAATTTTGGAGATGTTGTCACTTAAAAACAATTTGTTATCGTTTTTACGAAATTGAAAATAACAGTTTAACCTCTTCACTCAGCTGTAAATTTATTTCTTCCTGAGAAGATGGATTTTCAAATAAAATAATAATATTATCACAGATGTCTACACGTTTGACTCTAGATGCTAATTCAAGCTTAAATTAAACTCTGTCGATTAGACAAACATGCAGATGTGGAGCACTAAAGACTCCCGCATTTAAACTAAGGCTTTTAAGGAGATAAATCCAGAACAAAATGTCACATTATGAATTTCCTGGTGAAAGTGAAAAAGCTGGTAAAAAATGAATTTGAAAAAATGGTCTGGCAGCGTAACATGTTGTTACGGTTTTGTTTTTGACATTAGTCAAAACGGGGATGCAAAACGGAAGGAAAAAAAACGCAAAATTGTCATCACAAATTAATTCCAACATTTAAAAATACAGTTGCATCTGTGACCAAATGGTTTGATGTATTCACGATTGTCTCAAATCCAACTTTTCTAAGACCAAGTAAAATCGCCAGCTTGAAATTTTTATTTCCAATTTTTCATGGCTAATAATGATATAAGTCTGAACTACATACATATCAGTGAAAGTTGATTCAGGTCAAAGGAGATTTTTCGTCATTCTTTCAAAAGAACGATACCACAGATGTCTCTCCATTTTCTACTTATTTCCATTTCATACCTGAGGCACTTCGAAGGTTTCTGACGTATTTTGAATTAGTAAACGCTGGTGAGGAAGTCTCTACGTGAATATCATTAAAGAAGTATAAGTTGTTATTGATCGTGGCTGATTGTGGGCTGTTTAGACGAAATACTGATTACTCGTTGCAATCTTAAGAGCTAATGTCAGCATGCATCAAACAAACAGCGGCAAGTCACCCAAATTTTTTTTCACTCCTACTTTCATATTTTGTAGCCCAATATGTTCTAGTAATTGTGGTGTAGTTTTTTTGTGAAAATATATTTTAGTTTTCGAGAAATGACTTTTTCGTTCGACCGCTCACATATGCAAATTTTCACCGTGGATATTACCCAAGTTGTGTGACCTCGTGTAACGACTGTACTGGACCTACGGTATTTCTGTGAACATAATCCTTTGTTCTATCATCTCAACTTACTCCCCTGTCGTTATTGAAGCTGGCAAAGAAATATCTATTTTTTGGTGAATATTTTTGTCCGACATACTTTTCCTATGTCGAAAAGTAGCATCAAAACAAAGACAGTTTTAACAATGACCGATATGACAAAATCTACTGAGCGTCAAGCTTTTTAAAGACCAAAGGATGGTTATAAAGTTACTGTAAAAATTTCCTTGTGTATTTGTGTTGTTCCATCTTGAGACGAACTCAAAGTCCGGCAAAATTTACTTGATAGCGACTATGAAATATACATGGTGCGCCTACTTGTCGCACCGTTAACTGGCATAAATCACTACAATTTGCAAAAAAATCTAACATAACACTCTTACCTTGGTTATTTATGATTTTATTAGCTGTTTCGATGATCACGTTAATTATGCTCTACCACATTCTAGCCAGATGTGAGTTGCAGTTTATATATCTTCTCTATCTTATTATATCAGTTGCATGACAAGCGTGACACAGAAATTCAAAGATGAATCAACCTCCGAAATACCAAGAGGTGGGTTTTTTTTCCACTTTGCATGACATCTAGAAAAACCTTTCAGGAATTACTGCATTCAGAAAACTAAAATGTCCAGATCCATCGATGATTCCTTTGCCAGCTGAAGTCAAAGTATGGTTACAATAGTCAATTTGATCTGTTTTATAAGCGTCTCATCTTACATGCTAACATGGAGATTTGCTGTTTTGTTAAATCGTTTGCTGGTGGGACTTGTGGGTTTAGTTATCGAGAAGACAAAGTCGTTTCCTTGCGTGATTGTTAAAAAGACGTTTCAAGTCACTTGCGAAGTTGCAAGTTTTCAGATCCAGAAAATGTAGTTGATCTTGTTTTGTCGCGTGCCAGCATCTTCGAGACGCCAAAAGATATCGATGATTTTACAAATTGCCCCTCTCACAGATCAAATCTCGGTGTTGGGTGGAATCGTGGTTCCAATAGTAGATCCAGGGTGCCAAAAGAAATGTCCGGCCATGGTAAAGGTAGGGTTAAGTCGATTCCAGAAGCTGATAGGGGAATTGGCAAGCGTGTATTACAGATAGTACTCAAGATGTCTGGAAAATTCGTACAATCTGGCTTCGGTCAGTAGGCTACTTTCCACCGTGAGCAAAATTATGCGTGACGTCAGACTGAGTTTCGATTGAGAATTGGTCAAAAGGCTACCAAAAATTCAGACAGAGGCGGAGTTTTCTGAACTAATTTCTGAACACTTTGTTGGCTTTCCGCCGTCTGGGGGGACGCGTAATTGTGTACACTGTGGTAAAGGGCCCTTCAGCACTAGCAACTAGACGCTGACAAAACTTGTTTCTCTTCGCCAAAA